ATTCATCAGTTGATGGATATTTGGGCTCTTTTCATAATTTGGGTATGTTGATAATGTTGCTATAAACATTGGGGTGCATGTATCCCTTCAAATCAGTATTTTTGTATTCTCTGGGTATATGCTTAGTAGTGCAATTGCTGGATCATAGGGTAGTTCTATTTTTAACTTTTTGAGGAACCTCTGTACTGTTTTCCAGAGTAGCTGCACTAGTTTGCATTCCCACAAACAGTGCAAGAGGGTTTCCCTTTCTCTGCATCCTCGCCAACACCTGTTGTTTCCTGTGTTGTTAATTTAGCCATTCTGACAGGTGTGAGGTGATATCTCATTGTAGTTTTGATTTGCATTTCCCTGATGATGAATGATGTTGAGCATCTTTTCACGTGCCTGTTGGCCATCTGGATGTCTTCTTTGAAAAAATGTCTATTCATGTCTTCTGTGCATTTTTAAACTGGATTATTTGCTTTTTGGATGTTCAATTTTGTAAGTTCTTTATATATTTTGGACACTAACCCTTTATCAGATATATCATTTGCAAATATCTTCTCCCATTCTGTAGGCTGCCTTTTAGTTTTGTTGATTTTTTTTTTTTTTTGCTGTGCAGCAGCTTTTTATTTTGATGAAATCTCAGTAGTTTATTTTTGCTAAAAATATTTTCTTAATTTCACTTTTGGGATGGTCATATTAGTACGTAGAAATACAATTTTTTTTAAAGACTCAAGATTGGTCTCTTCCAATGGCAGATTAGGCACTCAGCAGTGGCTGTATCCACCCTGGCCTAGCTGAGTGGAAATCCATGTTACTAAGCCTATGCATGACCTCCATCCCTGCCACTGTGGCTACTTTGTTCATGAGCCCATTGGGCAACGGTGGGGTGGCTGGGGAAAGAGGCAGACTAATATCCACAGAACAGTTCATCATGTCCACTTATGAAAATTCTTCTCTGCTAAGGTCACCCTTTGCTGAAAATTCACATGGGGCACTGATATTATCACATTTTTTTTTCTGCCCATTTAGAGATGCTTATCCATATACAACTTCATCAGACTTCCTTGTCACCAATTTTACAGTTGTGTTCCTTAGAAGTGTCTGACCATCCAGGGGCACCTGGGTGGCTCAGTTGGTTAAGCATCTGATTCTTGATCTCAGCTCGGGTCTTGATCTCAATGTTGAAATCGGGCCCCGTGTTGGGCTCCACTCGGCATGGAGTCTACTTAAAAAAAAATAAAGAAGTCCCTGACCACCCAGCCAAACCATTGAACACTGCCCATGAGTCAGTATATAAACACACATCTGGCCATTTCTCCCTCCAAGCAAAGTGAATGATCAGGTGCACTGCTTTAAGGTCTGCCCACTGGGAGGATTTCCCATCACCACTGTCCTTCAGGGATGTCCCAGAGTGGGACTGTAGTGTTGAAGCTGTCTACCTGTGGATGGCACCTGCATATCCTACAAAACCATTTGTAAACCAGGCCCGAATCTTTTATTCCTCTATCAAATGATCATAAGGAACTCCTGATAAGGCCATAAGTGAGGAGAGAGAAATCATGTAGCAGGAGTGGGGACCATGGGCATTTGGGCCACTTCTTCATATAACTTGTGCCTTCATAGCCAGCTTGGGCCCCATCTCATATATACCACTTCCATTTGATGATGGAGTGCTGTTGTGCATGCCCAACTTTATTAAAAAGAAAGGCTTGGTGTGTCAAAGGACACCCAGTTCATGATGGGCAGTTCAAATAGCATGGTAATTCGGTGGCCCATGGTTAGGCATTCAGTCTCTACTAAAGACCAGTAATAAACCAAAAACCATTTCTCAAAAGGAAGGTAGTCATCTGCAAAGGATGGCAGAGCTTTGCTCTGAAGTCCTAAGTGCCTGTGCTGTGATTCAACTATAGGGGTCTGTCAAAGGCTCCAAACAGCATCTGTATCTGCCACGGATACTTCAAGCACCATTGGATCTAGTGGATCATATGGCTCAAGTTGCAGAGAAGTTTGTGTAGCAGCCTGGATCTGTTGTAGAGCCTTTTCTTGTTCTGGACCCCACTCAGAATTAGCACCTTTTCAGATCACTTGGAAATGGTCCAGAATAACCACCTAAATGAGGAATATGTTGCCTCCAAAATCCAAAGAGGCCCACTAGATGTTGTGCCCCTTTTTGGGGTGCAGGAGGGACCAGATGCAATAATATCTTCTAGTGGCTCCCACTTGGCCTTGCCTGCCAAAATAGCCCTCAGTCCACAGGTCAAGGAACTAGTGTGGGGTCTGCCAGGTGCTAAGTATGTCTATTCTAATTGTGTTTTCCAGAACTGGGGAGGTAAACACAGAATTGGTTCAGGGACCCACTGGACCCAATGTGAGTTGGGCTGGAGCTAAAACTCCATTAATCAGCTGACCTCCATCAGCCCCTACGCTGACTTGTGGACCATAGTAATGTTTTGGGTGTATCATGGAATTAGTGAATTCAGAGCCAGTGTCCAGTAGTCCCCCCAAAGGTCTGATTGTTTCCTTTTCCCCAATTCAAAATTATACTGATAAAAATCTGTAGGTCCCTTTGGGGAAGGCTGGGAGAAGGATTAAGAGTATATATTTTGGGGAGTGTATCAAGGTCCTTCCTCAAGGAAACCCTGCCTTCCTTCCATTCAAGGGGTTCTGGGTCTGTAAGCTGGCTCAAGTCTGGGATTTGATTGGGGGACCATAACTCTTGGGTTTTGTGATTCAAGTTAGATTTTTGTTCACTACATCTAAAACTCTTCTGTTTATACAGATCAAGTAAGAATTTGGTGGGCTGCTGTTATGGACTGAAGTGTGTTTCCTCAAAATTCACGTGTTGAAGCCCTAACACCCAATGTGACTATATTTGGAGACAAGGCCTTTAATGAAGTAATTAAGGTCAAATGAAACCATAGGGTGAGGCCCCAATCCAATATTATCAGTGTCCTTATAAGAAGAAGAAGAGACACTAAAGATACATACACACAAAAGGCCATGTGCGAACATAGTGAGATGGCAGCCATCTTCAAGCCAAGGAGAGAGGCTGCAGGTAAAAGCAACTCTGCTGATACCTTGATCTTGGACTTCTAGCCTCCAGAATTGTGAGAAAATAAATTTCTGTTGTTTAAGTCATCCAATCTGTGGTATTTTGTTATGGTAGCCCTAGCTAAACAGTATATCTTCTTATCTACTTCACTTCTAGGAACATTGTGATCAACTAGCCAACATAGGTCTCCATGAATCAGACTATTCTGATTGCTGCTTCGTCTGCTGTCCATTATGGTAACCACACCTATCTTGCCTTTGGCTGTTGAGTGCCTGCCACTTGGCCCCTGCCACCCCAGGGTCTAATTACTCCTATTGCATTTTGATTTCCGAGTTCAGTGGCAGCAATTTCCACTGTTAAGTCCTGGCCTACAGATAAGAGTGTTCATGGTAGCTCCTCAGAGATACTGGGGCTCCCTTCACAAATTTATTTCCCACAGTTGTGATGAAAGGTGTGTTCTCTAAACCTTCCCAGGTGGATGAGTAGATATTAAATGACAAATCCACTCCATATTCCAAACTCATTAAGCTTTTGAATCCTTCCCTCTACAGTATACCTAGGCAGATCTAATATTTCAGGTTAATTTACTGTGGGCAGCCTTTTGGTCCATGTTTCAGCCAAATAACCAAAGTGCTAGAGCCCTCTTTTAACTCCACAAGCTGCAATATTGAATACAGAATCACTGCTTAGTGGGCGCATATCAATGTATTTGGCTTGATCCAACTTTATGTTTCTTCCACCATCACCCACACTCTTAATATCCATTCCCACATATATTCCCCAGATTTGTCTGTATAAATCAGAAAAATCAAGTAGTTCTTTGGAGTGTAGCATACCTCCTCATGGATCACACTTTGTGCCTCACCTGTAGGGTCTGCTGGGACTTGAGTCTAGTTGTAGGTCTAGAAAGGACCTGTGGAGGTGGAGTTCCTGAGGATAAATGGCACTGTTTTGCAAAGCAAATACTCCAAGGGAGGCTATTACAGTTTTCCCCAGAGCAATGCAGGCTTAATCTCCTCAGACAGGGGTAGAGAGGTTGTTTCTACTGGCAAGGAAGACATCAGAATCTAGGGGTTCAAAATCCCTAGCTTCATCAAGGTTTTCCTATATACCTCCATTCCAATTTTCACCCACACTTTAACAGTTAACATTCTGCAAGTTTGGGAATTCAATTTTCATAGCAACTCAATCACTCCGAGAATGAGTTTCTGGGTTTGGTTTTCAAAGAAGTCAGCTCTGTGGCTATAGGAAATCCCTTCAGCACAGATGGAGAAGCTTTTAGGTCATTTATGTGACACTTGGGTTGGGAATTTGAATTCCGGAGCTCATTCATTTATTCCCCACTTTGTCCATGGACATCACACAGCCAACTCATTGTGTTCATTAGTTTGACAAAAACTTTCTGAAGTTTTATGTACATGGTCACCCACAAACCTGCCTCTTATTAGTGTTTGATTAGTAATATCCAATGGTGGTATTTTGTGTATCTCTATTGCCATATCATGTCATGGACTATCAGTGTTCTCTTTACTACTGGCAATAGACTCATTAGTAACTTTAAATCTAATCAGACTAGAGAACCAATTCCAGAAATGCCAGAACCAATTTAGAAAATTCATTCTTAAGATTCTGCTGTTCTAGAACCTCTCTTAGTACCAAAATCTGTATTAGTCAAGATTCTTGAAAGACACAGAAACAATGGAATGTGTGTGTGTGTGTGTGTGTGTGTAGAAAGAGAGAGAGAGACATTTTGAGGAATTGGTTCATAGTATTGTGGAGGATGGTAAGCCCAAAATTTGCAGCCTAGGCCACCATGCTAGAGACTTAGGGAAGAGTTGATGTTGCAGTTCAAGTCCAAAGAAAGTCGGCTGAAAAAACCTCCTCTTCCTTGGGGGAGGTCAGTTTTTACCAAGTAAGATCTTCAAATGATTGGATGAGAATCACCCACATTATGGGGCATAATCTGTCTTACTGAAATTTTATTTATTTATTTATTTATGCTTTTACATTTTATTGGCTACAGGGGAGGGGGTGAAATTCTACTAATTTAAATGGTAATATCATCTAGAAATACCTCAGAAACACCTAGGAAAATGTTTGACAAAATAACTGGTTACCATAGCATAGCCAAGTTGACACATAAAGTTAATCACCAGAGTTCCCTAAATATGGCAGAAAAGCACAGCCACAAAAGAAGAAGAGGAAGAAGAAGAAGGGGAAGGAGGAGGAGGAGGACCTGTGTAGAAAGTGAAAGGCCAACCTCCCCGTCCCCAGGATGGGAGAAGCATTTGCAAATCATGTAGGTGATAAGGGCGTATTTTTCAGAATGCATCAAGAATGCTTAGAACTCAACAACGAAGAGGTGAACAGCGCGGTTCAACAGTGGGCAAAGGACTTGAGCAGACAAGGCGAACAAGGCAGTTAAACAAGGGGCAAAGGACTCGAGCAGCCATTCCTCCGAAGCGCATGTACGAATGGCCAAGAGGCACGTGAAAAGCTGCTCAACATCGTTATAGCCGTTAGGGACGTGCAGGTCAAAACCACCCGCAGGGGCGCCTGGGTGGCTCAGTCGGTTGAACGTTTGGACTCTGGACCTCGGCTCAGGTCATGCATGATCTCAGGGTTGTGAGATCCAGCCCCACGTCAGGCTCCACGGTGGGCTCTGCACCGGGCACGGAGCCTGCTTAAGATTCTCCTCTCTCTCTCTCTCTCTCCCGCCTCCCTCTGCCCCTCCCCCCCCCGTCTCCCTCTCTAAGAAAAAGTCACCATGAGATAGCACCTCACACCCAGTAGGATGGCTCTTCTAGGCACAAGAGAAACAAAGCAAGTGGGAAATGACAAGTTTGGGCGAGGGTGTGGAAGAACTGGGACCCTCGCCCAGTGCTACTGGGATTGGAAAGTGGCACAGCTGCCGTGGGAATCCGTTGGGCAGCTCCTCAGTAAGGTACACATAGAATGACCATAGGAAGGACCCCGCAATCCCACTCCTGGATCTATACCCGAAGGCATTGGGAACAGGCGCTCCGACAGAACCCTGTGTACGGGAACGTCCACCGCAGCGCTCTTCCTGCCCATCCGCCCCAAGGTGGAAAGCACCGCAAGGCCCGTCCACTGACGGACGGGATGCACGACGCGTGGTCTATCCATGGCCGGGGGATATTATTCGGCCGTCGAAAGACACGAAGTGCTGATTCAGGCTACCACGTGGAGGAGCCCTCATGAAAACATGGGTGCTGAGCGAAAGCAGCGCGACCCCCAAAGCCACCTATTGGTCTTACGATCCCATCTCTAGGTAAGTCTCCCGAAGAGGCAAACCTCTGTGGGCCGGAAGCAGATGAGTGGTCGCCTGGGGGCTACGGGGGGGTGGGGTGGGGGAGGGGGGTGGGGTGGGGAGGGACGGAGGTGCCGTGGGGGGAGTGACTGCCTGACAGGTGCAGGGGTCTCTTTTTGGGGTGGTGCCCACGTTTTGGAACTAGAGAGTCGTGTTGCTCGCCCGACACCTCGAGCGTCTGTCTGCTCGGTACCACCGGACCCTCCACGACTGTTTTTTTTTTTTTTTTCCTTTTCTGTACAACGTCCCCGTGGGGCGGGAAAGTGAGCATTCCCTCCAAGAGAGGTTGCAGGGGGGCCGGGTGAGCAGGGGGCTCCTGCGTTTTGGAACTAGAGAGTCGTGTTGCTCGCCCGACACCTCGAGCGTCTGCTCGGTACCACCGGACCCTCCACGACTGGTTGTTTTTTTTTTTTCTTTTCTGTACAACGTCCCCGTGGGGCGGGAAAGTGAGCATTCCCTCCAGGAGAGGTTGCAGGGGGGCAGGGCGAGCAGGCTCCTGCCGGCGCCGTTTCTTGGCAGGCCCAGGCTCCCAGCAGGGGCTGATGGGAAAGCAGTGACCTCACCGGATCTACGTGTCACGAAGTGTGTCCCCGGACCAATGAAGGGGGTCGGTCCGTGGTCGCTAGGAGACGGCGGCTCAGGGGCCCAACGACCGGCTGGTTGGAGACGTTGGGCCCAGCTGGCGCACCGCACCGCACCGCACCGCACCGCAGAGCTAGACCCGTCGGAGAAAGCGCAGTCAAGGCCCAGCATGCCGGGGAAAAGGAGCCGTCGAGGGTCGTCCAGGAGCCAGAGGCGGACCCGCTCCCGCACTGCCCGAGCCGAGCTGTCGTTCTCCGTGAGCCACATGGAGCGCCTGCTGAGGGAGGGCCACTACGCGCGGCGCCTGGGCTCGTCCGCACCCGTCTTCCTAGCGGCCGTCATCCAGTACCTGACGGCCACGGTCCTGGAGCTGGCAGGCAACGAGGCCCGGAACAGCGGCAGGAGGCGCATCACCCCGGAGCTCGTGGACATGGCCGTCCACAACAACGCGCTGCTCAGCGGCTTCTTCGGGGCTACGACCATCTCCCAGGTGGCCCCGGCCTGGGAGTAGCTGCCCAACGTGAGCCGGGGTCTCGGGCCCCGGCCGGCCAGTCCGGCCTGCTCACCGCTGGGGCAGCCCCGGCCCGGCTGGTGCCTCGGGCAAAGTCCTTGACGGTCCAGAAAAGTGGGGCAAGGAACCCCTTTTGGTCCAAGCAATAAAAGCGAGCGAAAGAAAGAACCCCGTGTGTGTGCTTCAGTCGCTTTGTGTGGGACGTGGTTGGGGGACGTCCCTCTCCCTGGAGGGACGGGGCGGGGGTCGCGGGTGCTGGCGGCGTCTGGCTGCGGCGCGGGGAGGGGCCCGGCTCGCGGAGGACAGAGAGGAGACGGGGCGGGGGTCGCGGGTGCTGGCGGCGTGTGGCGGCCGTGCGGGGAGGGGCCCGGCTCGGGGAGGACAGAGAGGAGACGGGGCGGGGGTCGCGGGTGCTGGCGGCGTGTGGCGGCCGTGCGGGGAGGGGCCCGGCTCGGGGAGGACAGAGAAGGGACGGGGCGGGGGTCGCGGGTGCTGGCGGCGTCTGGCTGTGGCGCGGGGAGGGGCCCGGCTCGGGGAGGACAGAGAGGAGACGGGGCGGGGGTCGCGGGTGCTGGCGGCGTGTGGCGGCCGTGCGGGGAGGGGCCCGGCTCGGGGAGGACAGAGAAGGGACGGGGCGGGGGTCGCGGGTGCTGGCGGCGTCTGGCTGTGGCGCGGGGAGGGGCCCGGCTCGGGGAGGACAGAGAGGAGACGGGGCGGGGGTCGCGGGTGCTGGCGGCGTGTGGCGGCCGTGCGGGGAGGGGCCCGGCTCGGGGAGGACAGAGAAGGGACGGGGCGGGGGTCGCGGGTGCTGGCGGCGTCTGGCTGTGGCGCGGGGAGGGGCCCGGCTCGGGGAGGACAGAGAGGAGACGGGGCGGGGGTCGCGGGTGCTGGCGGCGTCTGGCTGTGGCGCGGGGAGGGGCCCGGCTCGGGGAGGACAGAGAGGAGACGGGGCGGGGGTCGCGGGTGCTGGCGGCGTGTGGCGGCCGTGCGGGGAGGGGCCCGGCTCGGGGAGGACAGAGAAGAGACGGGGCGGGGGTCGCGGGTGCTGGCGGCGTGTGGCGGCCGTGCGGGGAGGGGCCCGGCTCGGGGAGGACAGAGAAGGGACGGGGCGGGGGTCGCGGGTGCTGGCGGCGTGTGGCGGCCGTGCGGGGAGGGGTCCGGCTCGGGGAGGACAGAGAAGAGCCGTTTCTCTCGGGGACTGTGCAGGGGGTGGCCCTGGGTGGGAGAGGCTGGCTGCGGTGGGGAGGGGGGTGAGGCCGGGGCACAGAAGATCGCCCCCCCCGCCCCCCCCCCCCCCGCCTTCCCCGCCTTGGCTCTGAGCACGTCAGAGCCCGGGACGGTCCCGGGAAGGATGGTGTTCCTCGGGCTGGAGCTCAAAGGCCATGTGACCGTGGCGTCGGCAAGGGGTGAACACGTGCAATGGCAACCCGGGTGCGGGACGGAGGGGTGGACAGACCTGTCGGCCTGGGCTCTAGTGGGGCAGGGGCTTTGGAAGGTTGAGGACGGACTGGGTGGCTGGCCATCATGACACGTGCAAACTTGGCTTTAGGGCCACGCGGGATCGCGAGCTGAGCTTTCCTCGGGTTCCGGTTACAGACGCTAGGAGACGCCTGTAAGTAGCAACCTGGGTAACCAGGCTGTGTCGCCCGGCAACGGCGGGCACCCGGCCAGGCCCCGCCCCAGGACCCACGATTTCCGTAGACAACGGGCGCCCCGCGAGGTCTCTGGCCTCAGCTCTCTTGCATATTAACTTTGCCACTGGAAAAGGCTTCCCCCCCACGCCCCCGCCTCCCCTCCTCCCGAAACTATAATTTGCATATGTACCTTGCACTAGGCCATAGGGTCTGAAAGCCAGAGTAATGGGTGAGTGTGAGACCTACATTTTTTAGTGTTATTTCTTTATGCCTTATGTAGTTCGAATTTTTAGTATGAAATTTTATGGCTACTGCTTTCCTGCTAGGATACTGGTGTTTTACTGTAACTTTAACTTCTTCATTTTTATAATGAGAGCATAACATCTGTCCTCCATTTTAGATAGTGATTAGCAGAGTTAAAGAGAAATTAAATACATAAAATTTTATATGCATACATATGTGTATATCCATAATATATAAAAATACATTTTAAAATTATAAAAATATAGTTGTGCTAAAATAAGAATTTAATGGTACTGTATGCAGTCCATGAAACTATTTCTTTTATGTTTTTTATTTTATTTTTTATGTTATACAATAAAATCAACCTTTTTGGAGCCCAGTTCTATGAATTTAACACTTGTATAGATAGGTGTATCCACCACCACATTCAGGACTTGGAACAGCTCCATCAACCCAGAAAAGTCTCTGGTATAGTTCTCCCGCCCCTTTTTAGTTGTTGTCATTTTTGTTAAATTAACACTTGTTAAGAGCCTGGGGTAAGGGTGTCCGATGGTGAGCCAAGGTTCAACAAAGATTGAAAGGGAAAGGGAAACAGAGAGGTGTATTGCTCAGAGCTCCTGGAAGAGGTACACAACATGTCTGGAGGGCCACATGGGGAAGTCAAGGCACGGCACATGCAGAGAGGGGGCAGCAGGACCTGGAGTATATGCCTTTACTAAGGTTCATGGGTGAAATATTTCTGGGGTTTCCGGGCCAAGGCTGGATTGACCAATTCAAAACAAACAAAAAAGAGTCATGTTTTGGTAAGGTCTGTGGGAGTCCTATCTAAGGGATCCACAGAGGGAGGAGCTGGGAAGCAGAAGTGACTATTTAACACCAGGGTGATTGGGAAAGTCGTATCAGGTGCTTACACCTACTTGTGACTCAGCTGGTTGTCATCTAGGGCATGCACTTGAGGGTAGGCGAGTGCCTGCTCAAGGCCCCTGCATGTTGCATGTTGCTTATCCACACCAAATGAAAGCTGAAGCAGCAGTATTTTGGAGTAAACTCTCAGCATTAGTCAAACCCTTTCCACAGACCTAATCCTGACAACCACTGCTCTGTTCTCCATCTCTGTAGAACTGCCTTTCCTGGAACATCTTATAAATACATTCATCCAGTATGTCACCTTTGAAACTGACTCCTATCACTCAACATATTGCTTTTTGAAGTTTATCTAGATTGTTCATCTAGAATGTATCAATAGTTATGTTTTATTGGCAAGTATTATTCCATTATATGGATATACCACATTTTGTTTAATCATTTCCATATTGTAGGACATTTTGGTTTCCAGGTTTTGGAAATTTTGAATAAACTGCTATAAACATTTATGGATAGGGTTTGTATAAATATAAATTTTCATTTCCCTGGGGTAAATACTAAGGATTTGAACTACTAAATCAAAAGTTCCTTCAGTTCCCTTCCCAATTAGCCTCATCCTCATTTCCTATAGGCAACCACTGATCTTATTTTTTCTCACCACATATTAGTTTTGCCTGTTCTAGAACTTCAAATAAATGGAATCAGACATACAAGTACTTTCAGTGAAGCCTCTTTTGAGATTCATCCATATTTTTGCGTGTATCAATGATCCATTCCTTTTCGTCATTTAGTGTTATTTAACTGTACTGATAAACTACACTTTATTTATACATTCAACTGTTGATGGATATCTGGCCTGTTTTTAGTTTTTTATTATTATGAAAATAGCTACATAAATGTTTATGTTCAAAATTTTGTATACAAATATGCTTTCATTTCCCATGGATAATTCCTAAAAGTGGAAGTGTTAGTAATAGGTTAGGTGTATATCTAGCTTTATAAGAAACCACTTAACTGTTTTCCAAAGTGTTTGTACCATTTTATACTCCCACTATGTGTGAGGGTCCCAGTTGTTCCATATTCTTGCTAACATTTGATGTTGTCAGCTGGTTAGTTTTAGCCACTTGATATATAGTGATACCTCATTGTGGTTTTAATTTTCAATTAACTAATGATGAAAGATGTTAAGCACATTTCAATTTTCTAAGAGAGTGATGCTAAAATCTCCAACATGATTATAATTTTTCTAATATCTAAATAACCATTCCAGCTTTCCTATGCCTTCTGTTTTTATGATATATATTTATACATCCTTTTACTTTTGATCTGTTTTTATATTTGAAGAGCATCACTTTTTAAAATTTTATTCTAGTTTGATAACACTTAAAATGAGATCTATTCTCTTAATACATTTTTTAGTATACATTATTGTAGACTATAGGTACAATGTTATATGTCAGATCTCTAGAACTTATTAATCTTGCTTATTTGAAACTTTATGCACATTGATTAGTGACTCTCCATTTTGCCCTCCCCTCAGGCCCTGGCAACTACCATTGCACTGATTCTATGAATATGACTATTTTAGATACCTCATATAAGTGTAATTGTGCAGTATTATGAATACCAGCTATGACCATGTGATCAGTTACAGAAACAGAGATTGTAATTGACATGAGTATTTTTTCCTTCATTTGTTATCAATATGGTTGTGAGTTTGTGTGCATAAAATATCTGTTTTCTTCCCTTTCTTATCCTCCTATCATATAATATAAAGTATACTGAATTTATATCATAGTATTTAAGTATTCTTTTTTTTTTTTTTTATTAGAGAGAGTGAGAGAGAGAGAGAGAGCACAAGAGGGGGGAGCGGGAGAGGGAGAAGCAGACTCCCTGCCAAGCAGGGAGCCCGATGCGGGACTCGATCCAGGGACTCCAGGATCATGACCTGAGCCGAAGGCAGTCGCTTAACCAACTGAGCCACCCAGGCGCCCGTATTTAAGTATTCTTAACTTTACATCATAGTATTTAAGTTTCAGGATGTCAAGGAGAAGAGTAAATATTACTCAAGGACTGTGCATCTTCTACCAGGCAAAGGGTTATTGTGTTTTTGGTTGTACACAGGATGGTTGCACCATGTTAGGTCTAAGTAGAACCTTGTTACTATCTTTATTAGGAATTTAAGAATGTATAAAGGAGATGGGTCTGGGTGCCAAGTTGATAAAGGGTGTACTTGCAATGGTTAATTTTGTGTCAACTTGGTTAGGCCATTGTTCCCAGACATTTGGTCATACATTACTGTTAATGTTTCTGTGAGGGTATTTTGTAGTTGAGATTGACATTTAATCAATGGACTTTGAGTAAAGTGGATTACACCTCCCCCCTATATGTCGATGGGTCTCATCCAATCAATTAAAAACCTTAATAGAAAAAGGCTGACCCCCTTGGAAGAAGAGGGAATTCAGCCATTAAGCCTGCAAACTGCCTTTGTACTTCTACTGCACCTCTTTTCTGGGTCTCCAGGCTGCTGACCTATCCTGTAGATTTTGGGCTTTTCAAGTCTCCACAATCATGTGAACCAATAACTTAAAATCAATCTATTCGTAGATAAGAACATACATACGTATATGTATGTATATGCACACATATATAAGTATACACTCACATATACATAGATTCTGTTCATTTTGTTTCTCTGGAGTACTCTAATGCTGCTCATATACCCAACACCAGGCTTTCTGGTAATCCCTCCCCTTTCTGTCCCCACAGCAAGGAGTTAGACCAGAGGCCTAGCTTTTCCTTAAATCCAAACCCAAATACTATCACCAGTCACATTCCATAACTCCTAAGCATTCTTGTCCTAAGACAGTAAGGCAGTGGCTTACTAATAGAGGTAGTAAAGATGACCCTAAAAATCCCACCCATTTTGAGGCACTTGACTCACAGTGACAACCCTCCACACACACCCCTCCCCACGCCACCCCCCCACCACACACTAAAGGCAAAACAGAAATCTACTGCTGAGCCGTGTCCTTAAATCTCACCCCAAAAGATCAGTACTGTATACAACTTCAGCCTAGAGGATGCATACTAACCCTAACCGTAAAGAGAATAAAATCGAATTTAAAAACGCCCAGTTCGTAACATTTCATGTAACATTTGGACCAAAAAGCCTTGTAAATGTAGTATTTTGAAATGGGATGCTTTCCTGCTCTTGGGGAACAGAGACACCGTCTAGCATATGTATGACCGCACAGTACCAGAGAACCATGCTGATTTTACATATTTGAGTTAAGTAAGAGTGGCAGAGAGCTCCCTACCACAAAATAAAAGCCGTCACGCGGACGAGGCATACCTCTCAGAATGGAACCTAGAACCAGAACTGTGAATTCCAAGGCACATCAGACACATTGGCATTAGAACACGCCCCCTCCCTTGCACCGGACACATTTGCACTGCAGCTGAGTAAGGTCCACAACGCAAAGGATCTCTGTAGCTTCACTGCGTGGCAGAGCCTGAGTCCTGGGCTGTCGGTTTCAGATGAGTGACTACATCATGGACCTGAAAGACAACCATCTGTTTTTCTACTCTCTGCTTCCTGATAGGCAGAGAAGCTGTTCCCATGTTGTAGATGGAAGGAAAGCTAAACCACAGGTTAGGAGCATCAGAATGGCTTTATTATGGACTTAGGGCTGTAGCCACAATGGTGTATGTAATCAGATCATTCCCACGAACGTGTATGGGGCGGATGGAACAAAGGAGAACTTGGGCGGTCACGTGGACAGACACTGATCTATGCCAAGAAATCAGATCATGCAGCTTAAGTACTCAGAGCTGTGCAAAATCAAATCCTCACTTTGCAACAAAGATGTGGGGGGCGGGGAGCGGGTGGAAGAAGAGGTAAGGGCTAAAGGGGGCTCTTACTTGAACGTGGGCAGTTTTGGGGAAGAGAGCCGTGTCCTCCACTGATTCTATCAACGTTGCTGCTGTTTCCCTCCCACCGTCATGGAAGTAAGTTTTTGGGATACAGGTAAGTTCCGGTCAGCTAAGTTCCTACGGAGGCAAGAGGAGTAAGATAAACAAAGGCAGAACTGCCAGGATTCACGTCTTTTATTCCGCCGCCCGCCCCCCTCCGCCCCAAGCGCCAGGGGAGGTGCACGAAGTTCTGTCACAAGCCAAAAGTCAGTTCGCTAAGGGGATTCGTCAGATGCCCTGCCCCGAGGGGGAGACGGTTTCTTGCAGGACGAGGTGAAGGAGGTGGTTCTGCTCAGCACTCAACAGTGGCCACATCTCCACTTGCAGCGACTTGACGGCTTCTGTGTCCTTTTCGTGGGTGGCCATGACCAAGGACTGGAGCAGCAGGAACAGCTCCTCGGGAAGCTGGCCACCGCTCTCCTGCCCGTGGCTGTCGAAGGCCTCCCAGGAGTACTTCTCCAGGGTGTGGGCATGCTCCGGCAGGAGCTTGGCGGGCGGTGGCTGCAGTAGCAGCAGCAGCAACACGCGGGACACCTCGCAGCGGACCAACACGTCCGAGAAGGCTCCCAGCGCGGCGGGAGAGGGCGCGCCGGCCGTAGAGCCGGCGCTCGGAGGGAGCAGCGCGGCGGGCAGGGCCGGGGCCGCGCCGGGGCCCACCTGCTGCCCTGGCGGCGGCGGCGGCGGCGGCGGCGGGAGCGGCGGCGGCGGCGGCGGCTGCACCGGGTGGCTGCCGTGCTCCCGCGCCAGGCGCTGCATGCGCGTGAAGACCGCCAGGGCACCGCTGTAGTCGCGCGCCAGCAGCTGGCAGGAGGCGGCGTCGCCAAGAGACTGCAGCGCGGCCAGCGGCAGCTGCGGGAGCTGCAGCTGCGCGGCGCGCTGGAAGTGGCCGGCGGCGGCGGCCGGCTGGCCCAGGTCGCGCAGGGCGGCGGCCAGCTCGAGGCAGAGGGCGGCGGCGGCGGCCGGCTGGCCCAACTCGAGGTGCAGGCGCACGGCGGCGCCCAGAGCGCTGGCCGCGGCTTGCAGCGGCTCCCCGTAGGCTGCCGGGCAGACGAGTCGCTGGCGCGCGTCGCGCTCCTGCCGCAGGAAGAGGCGGGCGGCCTCGGTCAGCGCCAGCGCCTCCCCAGGCCCGTGGAAGAGCGCCTGCTGGCAGCGCGCCACCGCCAGCTGGCACCAGGCCGCGTAGGGCAGGCACTCCTGGGCACGCAGCTCGCGGCCCAACTGGCCAAACTGCTCGCCCGCCTCCGCCACGTTCGGCTTCCGCAGGAACCGCTTCTTCAGCTTGCTGGACACCTGGCGGTAGCGGGCCAGGAAATCCCCGGCCTCGGACCCGGGGCCCGCACCGCCACCCAGGCCGGCGGCGGACGACGCCATGTTCGCCGCCCTCGCGCTGACGCAGACCGTCGGACGTGGCGGCGCCCGGGCGCGACGTGCCCTGCGTCCCGCCGGCTCGGGCTGGCGGCGCGGCCGCGCGCGCTCGCGGAGCCCGCGCGCGCCGGGGCGCTGGGGGATAGGCAAACGCGCGGGATCGGCGGCCGGAGACCTCGCGGGGCGCCCGTTGTCTACGGAAATCGTGGGTCCTGGGGCGGGGCCTGGCCGGGTGCCCGCCGTTGCCGGGCGACACAGCCTGGTTACCCAGGTTGCTACTTACAGGCGTCTCCTAGCGTCTGTAACCGGAACCCGAGGAAAGCTCAGCTCGCGATCCCGCGTGGCCCTAAAGCCAAGTTTGCACGTGTCATGATGGCCAGCCACCCAGTCCGTCCTCAACCTTCCAAAGCCCCTGCCCCACTAGAGCCCAGGCCGACAGGTCTGTCCACCCCTCCGTCCCGCACCCGGGTTGCCATTGCACGTGTTCACCCCTTGCCGACGCCACGGTCACATGGCCTTTGAGCTCCAGCCCGAGGAACACCATCCTTCCCGGGACCGTCCCGGGCTCTGACGTGCTCAGAGCCAAGGCGGGGAAGGCGGGGGGGGGGGGGCGGGGGGGGCGATCTTCTGTGCCCCGGCCTCACCCCCCTCCCCACCGCAGCCAGCCTCTCCCACCCAGGGCCACCCCCTGCACAGTCCCCGAGAGAAACGGCTCTTCTCTGTCCTCCCCGAGCCGGACCCCTCCCCGCACGGCCGCCACACGCCGCCAGCACCCGCGACCCCCGCCCCGTCCCTTCTCTGTCCTCCCCGAGCCGGGCCCCTCCCCGCACGGCCGCCACACGCCGCCAGCACCCGCGACCCCCGCCCCGTCTCTTCTCTGTCCTCCCCGAGCCGGGCCCCTCCCCGCGCCGCAGCCAGACGCCGCCAGCACCCGCGACCCCCGCCCCGTCCCTTCTCTGTCCTCCCCGAGCCGGGCCCCTCCCCGCACGGCCGCCACACGCCGCCAGCACCCGCGACCCCCGCCCCGTCTCCTCTCTGTCCTCCCCGAGCCGGGCCCCTCCCCGCACGGCCGCCACACGCCGCCAGCACCCGCGACCCCCGCCCCGTCTCCTCTCTGTCCTCCCCGAGCCGGGCCCCTCCCCGCGCCACAGCCAGACGCCGCCAGCACCCGCGACCCCCGCCCCGTCCCTTCTCTGTCCTCCCCGAGCCGGGCCCCTCCCCGCACGGCCGCCACACGCCGCCAGCACCCGCGACCCCCGCCCCGTCTCCTCTCTGTCCTCCCCGAGCCGGGCCCCTCCCCGCACGGCCGCCACACGCCGCCAGCACCCGCGACCCCCGCCCCGTCTCCTCTCTGTCCTCCGCGAGCCGGGCCCCTCCCCGCGCCGCAGCCAGACGCCGCCAGCACCCGCGACCCCCGCCCCGTCCCTCCAGGGAGAGGGACGTCCCCCAACCACGTCCCACACAAAGCGACTGAAGCACACACACGGGGTTCTTTCTTTCGCTCGCTTTTATTGCTTGGACCAAAAGGGGTTCCTTGCCCCACTTTTCTGGACCGTCAAGGACTTTGCCCGAGGCACCAGCCGGGCCGGGGCTGCCCCAGCGGTGAGCAGGCCGGACTGGCCGGCCGGGGCCCGAGACCCCGGCTCACGTTGGGCAGCTACTCCCAGGCCGGGGCCACCTGGGAGATGGTCGTAGCCCCGAAGAAGCCGCTGAGCAGCGCGTTGTTGTGGACGGCCATGTCCACGAGCTCCGGGGTGATGCGCCTCCTGCCGCTGTTCCGGGCCTCGTTGCCTGCCAGCTCCAGGACCGTGGCCGTCAGGTACTGGATGACGGCCGCTAGGAAGACGGGTGCGGACGAGCCCAGGCGCCGCGCGTAGTGGCCCTCCCTCAGCAGGCGCTCCATGTGGCTCACGGAGAACGACAGCTCGGCTCGGGCAGTGCGGGAGCGGGTCCGCCTCTGGCTCCTGGACGACCCTCGACGGCTCCTTTTCCCCGGCATGCTGGGCCTTGACTGCGCTTTCTCCGACGGGTCTAGCTCTGCGGTGCGGTGCGGTGCGGTGCGGTGCGCCAGCTGGGCCCAACGTCTCCAACCAGCCGGTCGTTGGGCCCCTGAGCCGCCGTCTCCTAGCGACCACGGACCGACCCCCTTCATTGGTCCGGGGACACACTTCGTGACACGTAGATCCGGTGAGGTCACTGCTTTCCCATCAGCCCCTGCTGGGAGCCTGGGCCTGCCAAGAAACGGCGCCGGCAGGAGCCTGCTCGCCCTGCCCCCCTGCAACCTCTCCTGGAGGGAATGCTCACTTTCCCGCCCCACGGGGACGTTGTACAGAAAAGAAAAAAAAAAAACAACCAGTCGTGGAGGGTCCGGTGGTACCGAGCAGACGCTCGAGGTGTCGGGCGAGCAACACGACTCTCTAGTTCCAAAACGCAGGAGCCCCCTGCTCACCCGGCCCCCCTGCAACCTCTCTTGGAGGGAATGCTCACTTTCCCGCCCCACGGGGACGTTGTACAGAAAAGGAAAAAAAAAAAAAAAACAGTCGTGGAGGGTCCGGTGGTACCGAGCAGACAGACGCTCGAGGTGTCGGGCGAGCAACACGACTCTCTAGTTCCAAAACGTGGGCACCACCCCAAAAAGAGACCCCTGCACCTGTCAGGCAGTCACTCCCCCCACGGCACCTCCGTCCCTCCCCACCCCACCCCCCTCCCCCACCCCACCCCCCCGTAGCCCCCAGGCGACCACTCATCTGCTTCCGGCCCACAGAGGTTTGCCTCTTCGGGAGACTTACCTAGAGATGGGATCGTAAGACCAATAGGTGGCTTTGGGGGTCGCGCTGCTTTCGCTCAGCACCCATGTTTTCATGAGGGCTCCTCCACGTGGTAGCCTGAATCAGCACTTCGTGTCTTTCGACGGCCGAATAATATCCCCCGGCCATGGATAGACCACGCGTCGTGCATCCCGTCCGTCAGTGGACGGGCCTTGCGGTGCTTTCCACCTTGGGGCGGATGGGCAGGAAGAGCGCTGCGGTGGACGTTCCCGTACACAGGGTTCTGTCGGAGCGCCTGTTCCCAATGCCTTCGGGTATAGATCCAGGAGTGGGATTGCGGGGTCCTTCCTATGGTCATTCTATGTGTACCTTACTGAGGAGCTGCCCAACGGATTCCCACGGCAGCTGTGCCACTTTCCAATCCCAGTAGCACTGGGCGAGGGTCCCAGTTCTTCCACACCCTCGCCCAAACTTGTCATTTCCCACTTGCTTTGTTTCTCTTGTGCCTAGAAGAGCCATCCTACTGGGTGTGAGGTGCTATCTCATGGTGACTTTTTCTTAGAGAGGGAGACGGGGGGGGGGGAGGGGCAGAGGGAGGCGGGAGAGAGAGAGAGAGAGAGGAGAATCTTAAGCAGGCTCCGTGCCCGGTGCAGAGCCCACCGTGGAGCCTGACGTGGGGCTGGATCTCACAACCCTGAGATCATGCATGACCTGAGCCGAGGTCCAGAGTCCAAACGTTCAACCGACTGAGCCACCCAGGCGCCCCTGCGGGTGGTTTTGACCTGCACGTCCCTAACGGCTATAACGATGTTGAGCAGCTTTTCACGTGCCTCTTGGCCATTCGTACATGCGCTTCGGAGGAATGGCTGCTCGAGTCCTTTGCCCCTTGTTTAACTGCCTTGTTCGCCTTGTCTGCTCAAGTCCTTTGCCCACTGTTGAACCGCGCTGTTCACCTCTTCGTTGTTGAGTTCTAAGCATTCTTGATGCATTCTGAAAAATACGCCCTTATCACCTACATGATTTGCAAATGCTTCTCCCATCCTGGGGACGGGGAGGTTGGCCTTTCACTTTCTACACAGGTCCTCCTCCTTTTGTGGCCATGCTTTTGCTACCATATGTAAGGAACTGTTGCGTAACAGAGTCTCTAGGGAGAGTCCTTTGATGCACAAATGTTTTTGGTTTGGATGGGGTGCGGTTTTGTTTTTCTCCTCCTCCTCCATCCCTCCTCCTTCCTCTTCTCCTCCTCCCTTTCTTGTAGCTGTGCTTTTGCTGCCATATTTAAGGAAACACTGCATAGTCAAATCCACCAGGATTTACATCTATGGTTTATTCCAAGGGTTTCATGGTTTCCTTGCTTACATTTAGGTTTGTGATCCAGTTTTGGAGTTCACTTTCAGACACGGTTTCAGACTGGACTCCACATTCTTTCTTTTGTCTGTCGATACTCAGTTTTCCCAGCTCCGTTCCTTGAAGAGATTGCTCATTCCTACATTGAATGGCCTGACCACCCTTGTTCAGTATCAGCTATTCATAAATCTGTGAATTTATTTCTCACTCTAAATTCCAAAACATTGACCTACATGTCTACCGTTATGCCACCATTATGCCGTTTTGGGGATTGCTTGGAAATTGGGAAGTGTGGGTCCTCCAACTTTGTTCTTCTTTTTCCAGATTGTTTTGGCTCTCTGTGTCCCTTGCAGTTCCATATGCATTTAGGATTGGCTTTAACATTTCTGCAAAACAAGTCACTGAGATTTTGATGGGGGTTGTATTGAATCTCTATATTGCCTTGGGGACTATGGCCATCTTAACAATATTAAATGTTCAATTTACTGAAACAGGATGACTTTCCATTTATTTAGGTCCTCTTTAATTTCTTTCAGCAATGTTCTCCTTTCAGCAAATACAACTCTTGCACATCTTTTGTTAAATTTATTCCTCATTGTTTTATTCTTTTTTTTTTTTTTTAAAGATTTTATTTATTTATTTGACAGAGAGAGACACAGTGAGAGAGGGAACACAAGCAGGGGGAGTGGGGGAGGGAGAAGCAGGCTTCCCGCGGAGCAGGGAGCCCGATGCGGGGCTCGATCCCAGGACCCTGGGATCATGACCTGAGCCGAAGGCAGACGCTTAATGACTGAGCCACCCAGGCGCCATTGTTTTATTCTTTTTGATGATACTGTAAAAGAAATTCTTTTCTTTTTTTGGGTAAATTTTTATTTAAATCCCAGTTAGTTAACATACAATGTAACATTAGTTTCAGGTATAGAATTTAGTGATTCAACACCTACATACAACAGCTGGTGCTCATCACAAGTGCCCTCCTTAATTCCCATCACCTATTTAACCCATCCCTCCACCCATTTCCCCTCTGGTAACCATCAGTTTGTTCTTTATAGTTAAGAGTCTGTTTCTTGGGTTTTCTCTCTTTTTTCCACTCTATGTTCATTTGTTTTGCATCTTAAATTCCACATATGAGTGAAATCATATGGTATTTCTTTTTCTCTGACTGACTCATTTCACTTAGCATAGTACTCTCTAGCTCCATCCAGTGTCATTGCAAATGGTAAGATTTTATTCTTTTTTATGGCTTAGTAATATTCCATTGTATTTATATACACCATATCTCCTTAATCCATTCATCAATACATGGACATTTGGGCACTTTCCATAATTTGGCTATTGTAAATAATGTTGCTGTAAATATTGGGGTGCATATATTCCTTCAAGTTAGTCTTTTTGTATTCTTTGGGTAAATACCTAGTAGTGCAATTGCTGGATCATAGGGTAGTTCTATTTTTAACTTTTTGAGGAACCTCCATACTGTTTTCCAGAGTGGCTGCACCAGTTTGCATTCCCATCAACAGGACAAGAGGTTTCTCCTTTCTCCACATCCTCACCAATATCTGATGTTTCCTGTGTTGTTAATTTTAGCTATTCTGACAGGTGTGAAGTGATATCTCATTATAGTTTTGATTTGTATTTCCCTTATGATGAGTGATGCTGAGCATCTTTTCATGTGTTTGTTAGCCATCTGTATGTCTTCTTTGGAAAAATGTCTATTCATGTCTTCTGTCCATTTCTTAACTGGATTATTTGTTTTTTGGGTGTTGAGTTATATAAGATCTTTATATATTTGGGATATTAACCCTTTATAGGCTATATCTTTTGCAAATCTCTTCTCCCATTCTGTAGGTTGCCTCTTAGTTTTGTTAATTGTTTCCTTCACTGTGCAGAAGCTTTTTATTTTGATTAGTCACAATAATTTATTTTTGCTTTTATTTCCCTTGCCTCAGGAGACATATCTGGGAAAAAGTTGCTATGGCTGATGTCAGAGAGTTTACTGCCTGTGCTTTCTTCTAGGATTTTTATGGTTTCAGGTCTCACATTTAGGTCTTTCATCCACTTTGAATTTATTTTTGTGTATGGTGTAAGAAAGTGGTCCAATTTCATTCTTTTGCATGTTGTTGTCCAGTTTTCCCAACACCATTTGTTGAAGAGATTGTCTTTTCCCCATTGGATATTTTTTCCTGCTTTGTCAAAGATTAGTTGACCATATAGTTGTGGGTTTATTTCTGGCTTTTCTATTCAGTTCCATTGATCTATTTGTCTATTTTTGTGCCAGCAGTACAGCTATGTAATTTTTTTTTTAAGATTTTATCTATTTATTTGACAGAGAGAGACACAGTGAGAGAGGGAACACAAGCAGGGGGAGAGGGAGAGGGGGAAGCAGGCTTCCTGCGGAGCAGGGAGCCCGATGCGGGGCTCGATCCCAGGACCCTGGGATCAAGACCTGAGCTGAAGGCATATGCCCAACGACTGAGCCACTCAGGCGCCCCCACAGCTATGTAATTTAACTTGAAGTCTGGAATTGTGATGCCTCCAGCTTTTCTTTTAAAAGGTTGAATTGGCTATTCAGGCTCTTTTGTGGTTCCATACAGATTTTAGTATTGTTTGTTCTAGCTCTGTGAAAAATGCTGTTGGTATTTTGATAGTGATTGCATTAAATGTGTAGGTTGCTTTGGGTAATATATTTTTTATTTTAACAATACCTGTTCTTCCAATCCATGAGCATGGAATGTTTTTCCATTTCTTTGTGTCATCTTCAATTTTTTAATGTTTTATAGTTTTCAGAGTACAGATCTCTTACCTCTTTGGTTAGGTTTTTTCCTAGGCATCTTATGGTTTTTGGCACAATTATAAATGGGATTGATTCCTTGATTTCTCTTTCTGCTGCTTCATTATTGGTGTATAGAAATGCAACAGATTTATGTTGATTTTGTATCTTGTGACTTTACTGAATTTGCATACCAGTTCTAGCAATTTTTGGGTTGAGTATTTTAGGTTGTCTATATAGAGTATCATGTCCTCTGAAAAGAGTGAAAGTTTGACTTATTCCTTGCCAATTTGGATGCCTTTTATTTCTTTTTGTTGTCTGATTGCTGTGGCTAAGTCTTTCAGTACTATGTTAAATAACAATGGTGAGAGTGGACATCCCTGTCTTGTTCCTGACCATAGAGGAAAAGCTCTGTTTTTCCCACTGACGATGATATTTGCTGTGGTTGTTTCATATATGGCCTCTATTATGAGGAGGTATGTTCCTTTTAAACCTACTTAGTTGAGGGTTTTTATCATGAACGGATGTTGTACGTTGTCAAATGCTTTTTCTGCATCTATTGAAAGGATCATATGGTTCTTATCCTTTCTTTTTTTCATGTGGTATATCACATTGATTGGTGAATATTGAACTATTTTTGTAGCCCAGGAATAAATGCCACTTGATCGTGGTGAATGATTCTTCTAATGCATTTAATGCACTCCATTGTTTTAGTATTTTATTGAGAGTTTTTGCATCATGTTCATCTGGGATATTGATCGATGGTTCTCTTTTTTAGCAGAGTCTTATCTGGTTTTGGTGTCAGGGTAATGCTGGCCTCATAGAATGAATTTGGAAGTTTCCCTTCCATTTCTATTTTTTGGAATAGTTGGAGAAGAATAGGTATTAACTCCTCTTTGGTAGAATTCCCCTGTGTAGCCATCTGGTCCTGGACTTTTCTTTGGGATATTTCTTATTACTGATTCAATTTCTTTGGTGGTTATGAGTCTGTTCAAGTTTTTCTATTTCTTCCTGTTTCAGTTTTGCTAGTTAATATGTTTCTAGGAATTTATCCATTTCTTCCAAATTGTCCAATTTGTTGGCATGTAATTTTTCATAATACTCTCATAATTGTTTGCATTCTTGTGGTTTTGGGTTACTTTTTCTCATCTCTCATTTGTGATTTTATTTATTTGGGTCCTTTCTCTTTTCTTTTTGATAATTCTGGCTAGGGGATTATCAATTTCATTAATTTTTTCAAAGAGCCAGCTCCTGGCTTCATTGATTTTTTTCTATTGCTTTTTTAGTTTCTGTATCATTTATTTCTGCTCTAATCTTTATTATTTCCCATCTACTGGCTTTAGGCTTGGTTTGTTGTTCTTTTTCTAGCTCCTTTAGGTATATGGTTAGGTTGTTTATCTCAAAAATTTCTTGCTTCTTAAGGTAGACCTGTATTGCTATATACTTCCCTCCAAGGACCACTTTTGCTGCATCCCAAAGATTTTGGCCATTGTGTTTTCATTATCATTTATTTCCATGTATTTTTAAATTTCTTCTTTTATTTTCTGGTTGACCTATTCATTTCTTTCTTTTTTTTTTTAAAGATTTTATTTATTAATTTGAGAGAGAGAATGAGATAGAGAGTATGAGAGGGGGGAGGGTCAGAGGGAGAAGCAGACTCCCCGCTGAGCAGGGAGCCCGATGCGGGACTCGATCCCGGGACTCCAGGATCATGACCTGAGCCGAAGGCAGTCGCCTAACCAACTGAGCCACCCAGGCGCCCTGACCTATTCATTTCTTAGTAGCATATTGTTTAACCTGCATGAATTTGTGGTTTTATCCAAATTTTTTCTTGTGGGTGACTTCAAATTTCATAGTGTTGTGGTCAGAAAATATGCTTGGTATGATCTCAGGTCTTTTTGTATTCATTGATGCCTTTATGAATATGTGATCTATTCTGAAGAATGTCCCATGTGCACTTGAAAAGAATACATATTTTGCTGCTTTAGGATGGAATGTTCCTAATATATCTGTTAAGTTCATCTGGTCCAGTGTGTCATTCAAAGCTATTTTTTCCTTATTGATTTTCTGCTTAGATGATCTGTCCATTGCTGTAAGTGGGATGTTAAAGCCCCCTATTATTGTTGTATTATTATCAGTGTGTTCCTTTAGGTTTGTTATTGTTTTATATATTTGGGTGCTTCCAAGTTGGGTGTATAAATATTTACAATTGTTAGATCTTCTTGTTGGATTGTCCCCTTTATTATGATGTAGTGCCCTTCTTTGTCTCTTGTTATAGTCTTTGGTTTAAAGTGCGGTTTGTCTGATATAAGTACTGCCACTCTGGCTTTCTTTTGACCTCCATTTGCATGATAAATATTTCTCCACCCCCCTCACTTTCAATCTGCAGATGTCTCTCAGTCTAAAATGAGTCTCTTGTTGGCAGCATATAGATGGGTCTTGTTTTTTTTAATCCATTCTGACACCCTATGTCTTTTGATTGAAGCATTTAGTCTATGTCTTTTGATTGTAGCATTTAGTCCACAGGTCTTCTAGGGGAGGGTCTCAAGGCAAACTTGACCAAGAAGGGCAGTAGCAGCAGAGCACAGGGGAGTGGGACCTGGTGTAAGCAGGTTAGGCAGCCAGTGTTGGCACTGTGCTGTTTACTAAAAGTGGTTCTGTGCTTATGCTGAGGGGTGAGGGAAGGCAATGGCACCAGCCAGCTTTGTCCCCAGAAAGGGGTCTCTGTACCCACTGCTCTCAGGGATGCACTCCAAGAAGAGTGAATAATCCCCACCACCACCCACCATGTGAACCAGGTGTTTTTCAGATTGCTGTTTCCATACTGTCTGCCTCTGGGTTGTTTGCCTGCCTTTTCTCCAGAAACATCACTTTGCCCTTTAGGCTCTAGCCCAGCCTAGCCTGCTGACTTAAATCTCCAGGCTTTGGGGACATGGTGTGGGCAGGGGCCTGCACTGGTCTTCTAGGGGAGGGTCTCACCATGCTGGGACTGAGCAGGTTTGACTGAGAAGGGTAGTTGTGCCAGAATGTAGGAGTGTGGGACCTGGAGCAAGCAGGCTAGGCAACCAGTGCTGGGGCCAAGCTGCCCTCTGCAGGTGGCTCTGCGTTTATGCTGAGGGGTGGGGGAGGGAAATGGCATCAGCTGGCTCCTTTGTCCCCAGAAATGTGTCTCAATGAATGCTACCTCTCAGGGACAAGGGACACTCTCCAAGAAGAGCAAATATTCCCCCCACCCCACCGTGTGCCCCAGGCATTCCTCAGATTGCTATTTCAATGCCATCTGCCCCTGGGTTGTTTGCCTGCCTTCTCTCCAGGAGTAGGGTAGTGCCCTCAAACTTCTATCCCAGCCAAGCCCACCAACCTTTAAAACTCAAGTCTTTAAATCCTGCTGGTTGGAAGAACTCACAAAAATCAGCCCCTCTACTTTTCCTAGCCAATGGCTTTGGGGGAAGTGTTCTGCTTGTGTGCTCCTCTCTCTCGCCTTTCCCCACAACCACAGCTCCCTTTCCTTTGCAGCTCCTGTGATCCATTTCTCCTCCAAATCACATCTCCACACTCTCTTTCTTTGATGTAGTGTCTTCTCTCCTTTTAATTGTGGAGTTTATTCTCTCAGTCTTCAGGTTAATTTCTGGGGCATTTAGAATGATTTGATATCTAGTTGTGTTTGAGGGATGAGAGAAGCCTAAGGTCCTCTTGCTATGCTGCCATCTTAGCTCTCCCCTGCATTTCTAATAATAAATATCCTCAGCTGGATGGGTCTCCTCCTCCTCCTGTCTACCTCACAATAGCATACAATGAGCCTCACCATAGAGTATTTCAGCTGGGTTCTTTTTGGAGATCCTTTATTGTCAGTATCCTTAGATATTTTTCTGAGTTGGTCAAATGGCTCACAGAAGAACCTTTCAGCTGCGAGAATTTTTGAGTCTGAGGTGGAGAAGGATGGGGATTTACGGCTTTCAGGATGCATATCTCTAATTATCTCTTCTGTTTTTAAGATGAGATTCCAGCCCTTGGCTCCCAGTCCAGAGTCCTCTGCATTTCAGGGACTAACACTCCAGACTTCTGTCAGGGCAAGGAAGGGCCAGATCCTCAGTTTAGTCAGGTATCAAATGCAGGAGGGGGTTTGGAAATTCTTAAACAATTTTTAAGCAAACCTCATTATTTTGGTGCCTACTACCCACCTCCACTTCCAGAGTCACATATTTCAGCCTTTGAAGATTCTTGTGGGGTGGGGTGGAAAAGGGGGTAATAAATGAGGTTGGTTTTTGGCTTCTCCCACTAAGGGTTTAAGATTCTTTGTGACCTTTCTGGGTCTGCTAAGTCAGTTACTATTCATCCATCTGCTTTTCAGCATTCAAAATTTAGTTGTTGTCTCCTTTCCTGCCCTTCCAATCATTTTAAATATCATTTTATAGTAGTTTCACTGGGGTTTTGGGACATGGTGAAGTAACATGTGTAAGTATGTGTTCTACCTTAACTATACATCATGGCAGGCATAGGTATCTGCCTACTTGGCTCATTCATCCTATCACCTTTGTTATCAAGCCACTCTCCCTAAAACACTCCAGACTCCTTGTCTTATCAAGCTCTCTGATCCATCCTCTGACCTCTCTCTCTGATCCATTCGCCCTTTCAGCTTTCAGCTCCTGCACCACCTACTCAAACCAACTTCCTATCTATAAACCCTCAGGTTGTGCTTGAATGCTCTGCCAATATGTGTACATTTCATGACCTGTCTACTCTCCCTTACCCCTAGCATTTCCACATATTTTTCCAAGTCTGACTCTCATTGCTTTTCTCCTTCCCTCTAAGTAGAATGCTGATTTCTATCAAACACAGACTCGCCTTGTTCCCTCTTATTTGCTCAAATAACATTGATGACAAAAATAAACCACTACTGAGTATTTTTGTGTGCTGTTCACTGTGGTACACACTTTATGCACCAGACCTCATTTCATTCTTCATCACAGCTTTAGCAGGTAGATGACATTTATAAGCCTTATTTTGCAGATGAAGAAACAGAGGCTCAAGGAACAAAAGTGACTTCTCCAAATTCACCAGGCTAGTCAGAGGCAAAGATGGAATTCAAGCCCAGTTTGGTCCAAGTCCATGCTCTTTCTATAACACTACATTGACTCAGTCAAGGCATCAGAGAGGGATCTAGAAAGCAGAAGGTAAGAGGATACTGAGTACCTGAATTGGAGGGAGTGGCCCATCATTAATGGGACAAAAGATAGACCACAGAGAAAGGTAGGGCTAGAAGAGAAAAACCTTCACTGACTTCATAGGTTCACATAGCACTGACCCTGTGATCTTTACTTATGCACAGGATAAATTACCATATTTATCTACCCATAAAAAGTAGGTTAGAACACCACTATGAAACTATATGATACACACCAACATGGTTTAAGACGATTTTCACAATTGTAAAAGATGCCTGATTATTTTTTCCAGAAAGGAAGCTTGGATTCCATTAATCAAGCTAAGACTTCATACTCTGAGTGGTCCAAAAGTACTCTTAGCAAGATGGAGGACAAAAGCCAGGCCCACTGCTTAAAGCCAAGGAGTAGGATAAACTACCCACAAACCCTACCAACCCCTGAATGTAGATCTGACAACAACAGAAAAGAACAAAAAAAGAACTACAACCATATCTGCCAGGGTCTTTGGCTCTGGTGAGTTGTAGGCCTAAGGAGGCAAGGACACCGACATGGCCTGATTTCACAACTAAGCCACCAGATGGCTGTGTGAGTGGATCTCCAATATGCCCAAGAGCTTCCTGGGGCAGTGATATGAATATGTCCTATGAAATGGTTTTGATCCTAACAACTGACATATTTTGCAAGAGTGTGGAAAGAAGGAAAAATGCTAAATGGATTGATTTCTTTCTATCATCAAGTTTCTACCTTTGGAACAAGTAAAATTAGAGAATGTGAAAAACACTTTGTTTTTTAAAAAAGTAGGGGGTTTGGTGGATATTTATAAACTGCAAAACATGTAAATATTCTCATGGTTCTCTTAAGATTTTATTGGAAGGAACTTAAGAGTACAGATGATTACTATCTATGAATGGTCAGCTAGACTGTAAATATTGTTGGAATAAGGACAAGGGGGAAGGCATTGACATTTATTTTGGAATATGGCATATTAATTAAAAGCACTGTCTCTGTGGCCAGATTTTCCAAAATTCTAATCCAAACTCTGACACTTATTTAGCCATGTGACCTTGGCTAAACCACTTAATCTCTCATTACCTCTATTTCTTCATTTATAAAACAGGGGTAGGGTTGCTGTGGGGATTAAAAGCAGTTATAACAGTGTCTGGCACATGGAAAGCGCCATGAAAGTTAGCTATTGTTATTGGTTATCATTATGTGCTGCAAACATCTTATTTAATAATCACAAATTTGCTAGAAAAGCCTGTGGGGTAGGTATTTTCCTTATTTTGCTCATATGAGAAAACTTAAGCTATGAGGTCAAACAAAATTACAGAGTGACAGAACCTTTAGATGTTGCCCTGTCCAAGGCCTCCATTTTAAAATGAAGAAGAAACTCTAGCTCAAAATAGGGCCTAGAGCTTAGCAACAAGGCTCTTCCCTTCAGTGGTTCTCAAACTTTGGCAGGCACCATAATCCCCTGGAGGGCTTGCTAAAACACAAACTTCTGGCTTCCACCCCCACAGTTTCTGATTTAGTAGGTCTGGTGTGGGGCCTGAGAATTATCATTTCTAACAAGTGCTCAAATGATGCTGCGGCTGCCGGTCTACTTTGGGAACCTGCACAACACACCACAGTTCATACATCTTTTTTCCTTTTCATCACAGACTACACAGGTTGTGATTCACAAGCACTTGGACAGAAATGAGAACTGCTGATGAACACTAAAGAAAAAGACATTGCTAGCAGGAAGAAGGTAGGGAGACCAATAGTCCTGGTTTATGTGGGACTTCCCCAGTTTTAACACTAAGTTCTGCAGCCCAGGAAACCCCTCAGTCCTGAACACACTTGAATGGTTTGTCACTCTAGATGAAGGTAGACAAAATTCAGTGCTGGTTAACTGCCAAACACAAAAGGACATCTTATAGAGAACATGGTAATATCTGGTAAATTTGTTTGAAAAGGATTCATTATTTTATTCTTATTCCAACAAATTTGTATTATGAAAAGACTATGTTAGGTGTTGTGCTCCTGACCCTACTGATCCCATCCCACCTTAGCAAAAGGTAAAAGTAACTCTACAACACTGAGCTTGGTAGACATAGACCCATGCTTACATATTCAGGGACACCAGAAAGAGATGTAAAAAAAGAAACATTTTACAAAGAAAGTTTTCAATGCACCATGATCAGCACTCAAATAATTCCCTTCCCTCTTTCTTCCTCTGAAGGGAGTACATTATAGAAAAGTATGGATTGAAAATTTAGTAAAGCAAAGGTGAAATAATTAATGAATCAAGGTCCCAGGAGAAACAGAAGGTAAAGGAAGTCCTTCAGTGAGGGAGAAGATTGATCTGTATCCTTATCTCTCCAGGACCCTGAATATGTCCATTGCTTATTATAAATCAATGCTGACCACAGTTAAAATGTAATTTTCAAGGCTAAGTTAAGCAAAATTTCAAAAAGGATAAATATCCTGAGGAAGACTAATGGTGACAATTTTAGGAGTACCTAACAACAGGGAGAATAGATTGCATGTTAAAATGTTACTTCTGTTCTGATTGCTAATGGGTATGTTCTTTAAGACCTAGGCTTAATTATCAATCCTTTGACCCAAGGACAACAAATTTCATGAAGACCCCTAAAGATTCCTAAATAGTACAAATAAAATGCAGAAATATTTTGAGAACATATTTTAGAGCACTGGATGAGTCAATAAGATAATGCATAAACTACTAAACGTGAACTAGGGACTCTTTGTTTTGTGTTTGAGTTTGTTTTATGACTTCTATCCCCACTAATGATCCCTTTTTTTTCCTCTTCTGCACATCCTAGCCTGGATTCTCTTTCATCATTCTACAGTGGTCAATGCAGTTATTGTACAGCTTCACTTTCAATGAAAGCTAGGGGAAAATAACCCTCATACCCATCTCTCTGTCTCTCCATCCATATATAAAGGGAGCCACTAAAAAATAAAAGAAACAAGGTATTATACTTAACCCAGGCAAATCTTAGCAATTAACATGTATAATATTTTAAGAAAAGAAAAACAAAAGATCAGCAGAAATGGAGGAAACAGACTGCATCCTAAATTCCATCAAAAGCAAACATGCAAGGTTGGGTAGTAATTTCCAGTTCTTTGGAGCCACATCATCTGTCATGATGAGTTCACTGAACAGTCTTACAGACTAACCCTCTGTACTCTCTTGTGGTGTATGTGTATATATATGAATTATCATATGGAACCTCAGAAGTCTCTAAAAACTTTCTGCAATTATCCCTCACACAATTATTGAACTGATGGATTTGTTCCACAGGAGCTATTGTGGCTTCCTAGTTTAATTCTTCAAGAGATGTCTTGGATGGAGATAACCCTTCTTGTAAGATAAAACAATGTTTATATTCAGTTACTACCTTATCACTGAGCTTGTGCTATCAAGCAATTTCTACAATATCTGTAGTTTTAGGACACTGTCGATATAAATCTATGGTTTCAGCTAAACTCTTTAATCCACGGGTCTATGTAAAAGACTGTCTTAAGGTATCCTCCAGCCCATTGGTTCTTAAAGAGTGGTCTGAAAACACCTGGAGGGATTCTTGAGCCCCTTTCAGTGGGCCTGTGGGTTAAATAATATTTTTTATAATGACACTAAGATATTTACCTTTTTCATTCTTTTTATCTCATAAATGTACAGAGGGCTTTTCCAAAGGCTATATGGCATGTGATGATGCCATCTTTCTGATACTGAGGGATGTGTGATTTTGTGTTCTTGAATTTTAAACATTTCTCAGTTTTAATATCTATTACAGTTAGTATCAATAGATATAACCCACATCCAAGAACACTTTGGGGTCCTCAATGACTTTTAAGAGTGTTAAGGTGTCCTAAGACCAAACATTTTGCAAACTGCTGCTTTACAAAGACTTTGTTCCTAAAATGCATTTCTTTCTAACTGATCTAGTTGCAACTTCTGTTTTGTGTGGTGAGATAAAGAGACAATTTGAAGTAGGTTTTAAAACAATATTATTTTGCTGATATGAAATTCTGGTAGCCAGGGTGCCAGGTGTGTTCATAATCTTAATGCTGTCAATTTTAAGCCTGAAGCCCCAAGAGACGAGCAGTGTTTAATACATCATCCCTTGTTAAATAGCAGCCACAGAGTTGGCGGTAGCCAGTAAACGATTCCCTGCCATGTAGGACACGCCAGTTGTCTATAAATAGGACCTGTGAATGGGCAAAAAGAGAAAAAAAACACCATCAGAACAAAAGCAGACCAAAGAATTCTAAATCAGAAGAGACCACTTAAAAGCTTTAGGTTGTTCTCTAGTTAAAATTCAATGAGGTATCTTTCTTTTTGAGATTAAACAAACCTTTGGAAATTAGGATGTGCATAGCCCTGTAGTAGGCTGGGTGGAAGTTACAAAAGCAACAGTAGGTAATTAGGCCCTGTACTTGAGAAGCTTATGTTTCTTGAGTAATTATTCTCTTATCAAAGCAAATCAGATAACTGGCTTCATTTTCTTTTCTGTTTAATTTTAAATATATACTTTCTCAAGAAGTTAAACTATTTCATTATGTTTTATGCTAAGCTGAAGACATTACTCAGAGGATAGATCAAGAGCAAAAAAAAAAAAAAAAAGAAATCACATAGCTGGAAGGACACTTAGGGATTATCTAGTTCAACCCCCTCATTATACATATAGAGCCACTGAGTCACTGATGCCTACATATGGTGTGGGACCTGCTTCCAGGTCATTCAGTGAGCGGCAGGACCAGAGCCAATACCCAGGATTCTTTTCATTTTTACCTTTGCAAGACTGTGACTCACATATTAAAGAAGTACCCATTATTCATTGCTTCAGTATAACAAGCTTACTTGACATCTTTAGAACTTGGCACCCACCCTGCCAGGCTTTAGTTTGACCCAAAACTCATTCTCAGGTCTCCTCAACTCTACTGTCAGAGTCCGGTGTGCTGTATACCAACGATGGACAACATCATAAGGTACAGTATTGATGACAGCTCTGTCATAGTTGTTGTATCTAAGATGAAATCATGAGAAGAAAAGATATCCTCAAACACATGTTAAAGACACCTATTGCTTATTGAGCAATTTTATTTAAGGCTTTGTCTATATTCATTACTTGTCCTAGAGATAAGGTGAGAATAAGTCAATGCTCTCTTGGGAATATAGGATTGCAGAGAGGAGCCCTGCTGCCTGTTGACCATATTTTTTTTTCCTTTGGAGAATCTGGGGGTAGGAGATAGAAGTAAGTTCTAGCTGGTTTCTTCCATCTTAGGATATGATGTTTATCTAAAGTACATTCTCTTGGCCAAATTTTACAGAAGCACTGGGGAAAGATCTGAGCTTTCTATTCACTAAGCTGAGGGGGGCAAGAGAGGTTATACTAACAAGGCTTTCTTTTTAGCAGAATGACTTAGAACTTCTCAGGTGTTTCTCTTTGTGGGGAAAAGCCAAGCTATAGACCTACTGGGCAGATTACTCAGTGATCTTCACTCATTCATTCAACTCTAACATTTACATGAGCAGCTGCTATGTGCTAGGTGGTGTCAGGTGTTAAAGATACAGTGATGAACATAGCAGACACGATCCCAGCCTTTGGGATCTATTTACATTCTATTAAGAAAGACAAATGATGGACAAGTAATAAATACATATCTAGTTACAGATGTTATAAAGAAAAAATAATGTACTGTGATAAAAAGTGACTGGGTAGTCTATTTCAGATGGAGTATGTTGAGTGAGGACTTTTTTGAAGAAGTGACATTTGAGCTGTTACCTATATGATAAGAAACCAACAATGTGATAAGCTGAGAGGAGTGTTCCAGGCAAAGGGAAGAGCAAGAACAAAGCATTAGGATGGAAAGGAGTTTTATTATGTTTGCAGAACAGCAAGAAGGCCATGTGGCTGGAGCTGAGTAAGCAAGGGGGATAATGGTAAGGAATAATGTGGAGGAGGTAGCCATGGGCCAGATCATGTATAGCCTTATAGGCCATGGTAAAGATTTTGGGTTTTATTCTGAGTACTATGGGAAGTCACTGAAAAGCCTTTGCTAAAGGCTTTCTTTTTTTCTTAAAGGATTTCTTTTTTACTTAAGGTAAATTAATCTTTTACTGAAGTATAGTACGTATATGGAAAAGTACACAAATCTTAAGCTTGATGTATTTTCATGATGTGAACACATCCATATCACTAGCATCCAGGCCAATAAATAGATCATTACGCACACCCCAGAACACTCCCTTGTACCCCTTTTCCATCTTGTCTTTCCCCTAACCCAAGGATAACTACCATCATGACTTCTGTCACCAAAGATTAGTTTTGCTTGTAGTCTTTTGTGTCTGGATTCTTTCATTTAATATTATATTTAGGAGATTCATCATTGTTGTTATATAGTAGTAGATCATTTATCCTTCATGCTGTATAGAATTTTATTGTGTGACTCTACCACAATTTATTCATCCATTCTACTGTTGATAGATATTTGAGTAGTTTCCAGTTTGGGACTAATACAAATAATCTTGGTGGTTCTGGTCCATGATGGCAACATAGAAATCTCCCAAACTCACCTCCCCCCATGCACATACCAAATCTACAGCTACAACTGGGACAATTCCCTCTGAAAGAAATCCAGAAACTAGCTGAGTGACTCCTACACATTGGGTAAATAAAAAAAAACCCACATCAAAATGGGTAGAAAATGCTGAAACACAATTTTATCATAAACCCATCCCTGGTGCAGCAACCAGAAGGAAGTTCACAACTCCAAGCTTCTCCTTGAGGAGTGAAGAGTTTGGACTCAACATTTAGTGCCCAAACTTTTAAGATGTCTGCATGAGGGATGGGCCCCCGAAACACCTAGCTTTGAAAGACAATGAGGCTTGCATCCATGAGACCCACCAGGTTATAGAACACAAAGAAACAGTTCTTTTTTTTTCTTTTGGTAAGTAGTTTATTGTAAGATAATTTATAAACATCTTGCGGTCTTTAGTAGTTTAAACAATGGACCAACAATTTCTTCCGACAAGGACAGCAGTAAGCTAAAAATAAAACCAGCTGGCTGAATTTTCCTTCTTTATATCTTGTCTGAGGATGAAACTTGGTTTTCATTAATCCAGAGCTGCTGCACCGGAAATGACTTCAATCAACTCTTTCGTGATGACAACCTGGTGGGTGCGATTGAATGTCAAGGTCAGTTTGTCAATCATCTTGGAAGCGTTCTTGCTAGCGTTGTCCATGGCCGTCATCCTGGCACTTTGCTCACTCATGGTGGATTCCTTTAGAGAACAGTAGATGATGTTGGCCAAATTGTATTCTTGGTAATTCTGCAGCACGTCAGCATAATATCATCATAGGTACTCATGCTCTCAGCACTTGCAACGGTTTCAAGGGAAAATATGGGCTTTTCTTCTGTCTTGTAGGAGATGACAGACCTGAACTGATTAAAGATGATTAGACCCTTCATCAAATTCATGTCCAGAATTTAGTAGTTCAAGGGCAATGACGGACGCATCCCCAAAAGTAGGAGGTTTTCTTCCCACTTCTTTGAAGGACACCAGAAACTGGTCAGAGTGAGTCCTATGAAGTATACCCCTGATTTTATCACCAATTCCAACAAGCATGACTTCTTTCTCAGCTGCTGTGAGCGTGGCCACCTCACTTTTCATCTGTTTAGCAACCGAGGAATGAATAGCACCAGAGAGCCCTCGATCTGAGGACACACCAATAAGGAGGTGTTTCTTCTTGTGTTCAGGCACCTTAATATCAGCTTTTTCATACAGAGCCAAAGATCCTATCCCATATACTCGAGCTGGTTTCAGCTCCCTCTCAGCTCGGGCATATTTTGCTGCTGCTACCATTTTCACAGACTTGGTGATTTTCTGGATGTTTTTGATTGATTTTAGTCGCCTGGTAATATCTTTTAAATTTGCCATATTTCGAACTTGGCCCAGCGACGCCTGCCCAAGAGAACATGGTGGTACCAGCCCGGCTCGAAACAGTTCTTAATGGGCTTATGAAGACTCACTGTGGAAAACTCAGGTCTAGTACAGAGACAGCAGACAGAAACACCCATATCCTAGTCTTTCTCTAGAAAAAACCTATTTGCATACATTAAAAGCTGCTTCTTGAAGGTCAGGCTTCTATTTTGGCACACATCTAGGGACAGACTGCAATCCTCCCCAGAGATGAAGAAAGCCAGTGGGCACCATCTGCACATTCTCCCTCTGGCCCACTCAGGTCATTGGTGTATTCCTGGAATGAACTTGTATACATGCCTACCACTCTGGCTTTTGTGGCTGCTGTCCAGGGGATCACCTGGCTTGATCACCCCTTGATCACCTGGCTCTGGCAGCCAGTGGGGCTTTAGTTCCAGATTCCATAGGACAGTAACAAACAAAGAAATGCTTCTTAATTGGCTATCTACCCAAGGCTCAGTGCAAAGGGAGCACACAGAAATGCCCAGCTCCCAGTCTTTCCTGGAAAGAAGTCTGCTTGCATACTTTAAAAGCTGTTAACCAAGGGTCTGGCTTCCAATCAGCCTCCATCTAGGTGCTGACTAAGATCCTCCCCTTTGGGAGACTGACAGGTCTTGACACACCTTCAACTACTGGAAGCCGCTAAAACCACAGAAAGTGGCTTAGAAAAATCACAAAGGTTTGAGTGACAGCCAAGAGCTAAGGCTGAGCTGAATGATAAGGTTCATCTCTTACACAAGACCACTCTATCAAGACTGGGAGAGGTGGCTGTTGTATCTAATATGCAGAAACCAACACAGAGGGAAAGAAAAATGAAGAAACAGAAGAATATGTTCTAAACAAAACAACAAGATAAAACCCCAGAAATAGACCCTAATAAAATGGAGATAAGTGATTTATCTGATAAAGAGTTTAAAATAATGGTCAAAAGATGCTTACCAAGGTCAGGAGACCAATGCATGACAAAGTGAGAATTTCAACAATGAGATAGAAAATATTAAAAAGTACCAAACAGAAATCAAAGCTGAAAAAGTAACTAAGTTGAAAAAGTTAACAGAGCAGACTAGATAAAGTGGAAGAAAATATCAGCAAACTCAAAGACAGAAAGGAAGAATTCATTCAATCAGAGAAGCAAAAAGAAAAAATAATGAAAAAGAGTGAAGATAGCTTAAGAGAATTATAAGACTCCATCAAGCAGACTAATATTATAGGGGTCCCAGGAGAAGAGAGAGAGAAAGGGGTCAGAAAGCTTATTTGAAAAAATAACAGAAAACCACCCAACTTAGAGAAAGAGACAGCTACATCCAGGGAGCCCATGGGATCTCCAAAAGAGGAATCCAAAGAGACCTACACTAAGACACAATATAATTAAACTCTCAAAAGTTAAAGAAAAGGAGATTATTTTATTTTATTTTATTTATTTTATTTTAATTTAATTTTATGTTAGTCACCATACAATACGTTATTAGTTTTTAATGTAGTGATCCACGATTCACTGTTTTCATATAACACCCAGTGCTCCATGCAGTACATGTCCTCCTTAATACTCATCACCGGGCTAACCCATCCCCCCACCCCCTCCCCTCTAGAACCCTCAGTTTGTTTCTCAGAGTCCATAGTCTCTCATGGTTCGTCTCCCCCTCCGATTCCCCCCCTTCATTTTTCCCTTTCTTCTCCTAATGTCCTCCATGCTATTCCTTATGTTCCACAAATAAGTGAAACCATATGATAATTGACTTTCTCTGCTTGACTTATTTCACTTAGCATAATCTCCTCCAGTCTCATCCATGTTGATGTAAAAGTTGGGTATTCATCCTTTCTGATGGCTGAGTAATATTCCATTGTATATATGGACCACATCTTTTTTTTTTTTTTAAGATTTTATTTATTTGACAGAGAGAGACACAGTGAGAGGGGGAACACAAGCAGGGGGAGTGGGAGAGGGAGAAGCAGGCTTCCCGTGGAGCAGGGAGCCCGATGCGGGGCTCGATCCCAGGACCTGGGATCATGACCTGAGCCGAAGGCAGATGCCCAACGGCTGAGCCACCTAGGTGCCCCAGACCACATCTTCTTTATCCATTCATCTGTTGAAGGGAATCTTGGCTCTTTCCACAGTTTGGCTATTGTGGACATTGCTGCTATGAACATTGGGGTGCATGTGGCCCTTCTTTTCACTACATCTGTGTCTTTGGGGTAAATACCCAGGAGTACAATTACTGGGTCATAGGTAGCTCTATTTTTAACTTTTTGAGGAACCTCTGCACTGTTTTCCAAAGTGGCTGTACCCAACTTGCATTCTCACCAACAGTGTAAGAGGGTTTCCCTTTCTCCACATCCTCACCAACACCTGTTGCTTCCTGGATGACTGGTATGAAGTGATAGCTCATTGGGGTTTTGATTTGTATTTCCCTGATGAGTGATGTTGAGCATCTTTTTATGTCTCTGTTGGTCATCTATATATCTTCTTTGGAAAAATGTCTATTCCTGTCTTCTGCCCATTTTTTAAACCAGATTATTTGTTTCTTGACACCCTATGCCTTTTGATTGGAGTGCTTAGTCCATTTACATTCAAAGTAATTACTGATAGCTATGTGTTTATTGCCATTTTATTACTTGTTTTGTCATTGTTTCTGGAGAATTTCTCTGATCCTTTCTTTGTCATTTTTGGTCTCTCCTTTCCACTCAAAGAGTCCACTTTAATATTTCTTGCAGTGCTCGTTTAGTGGTCACTAACTCCTTTAGTTTTTGTTTGTCTGGGAAACTATCTCTCCTATTCTGAATGATAGCCTTGCTAGAAAGAATATTCTTGGCTACAGATTTTTCCCATTCAGCACATTGACTATATCATGCCACTCATTTCTGGCTTGCCAAGTTTCTGGAGAGGTCTACAGCTAACCTTATGGGTCTTCCCTTGTGAATTAAGGACTTCTTTTGTCTTGCTGCTTTTTAAAAATTTTTCTTTATCACTAGATTTTCCAAATTTAACTACAATATGCCTTGGTGTTGGCCTGCTTTTGTTGGTTTTGGATGTCTGTTTCCTTCCCCGGATTAGGGAAATTTTAAGCTATTATTTCTGAAATAAATTTCCTTCCCCTTTTTCTTTCTCTTCTTCTGGGACTCCTATAATATGAATGTTATGATGGAGTCACTGAGTTCTCTAAGTCTTTTCTCATGTTGCATAATTCTTCTTTCTGTCTTGTCCAGCTTCATTATTTTCCATTATTTTTCCTTCTATGTCACTAATTCATTCCTTTGCTTCTTCCAGCCTGCTGTTCATTGCATCAAGCCTGTTTCCAGTCTCATTTATTGCATTCTTCATCTCTGATTGATTTTTTAAAAATTCTTTTATGTCTGTGGTAAGGGTCTCACTGACCTCTTCTAGTCTTTTCTCAAGCCCAGTGAGTATCCTTATGATTGTTGCTTAAATTCTCCATCAGACATGTTACTTTTATCGGTTTCACTTAGATCTCTGGCTGTGGTCTTATCTTGTTCTTTCATTTGAGATAAATTCCTCCATCTTGGCATTTTGTCTAAGTCTCTGCCTTCTTCTCTGTGTTAGAAAAGCCAGTTATGTCTCCTGCTCTTGAAAGTATGAAGAAGAGGTCATGTATTTTCCAGGCCCTGGAGCTTCAGGGATTGTTTCTGGTGTGTGTAGTGTGTGCTCTGCTGTTGTGTTTTGGCTGCTCGATCCTTCAAGCCAGTCATGCACAGAGGCTCTCCTTGCCTGCAGTGGGCAGTGTTTGGTCCCTGGCCTGAATGTGGTGAGTTTTAACTATGTCTGCTCTGGTCTGCTTGTTAAATGAAACCTGACACCAACTCCACCAGAACTGAGGCCCTGCAGAACTCCCTGTTTGGGAGATGTGGTGTGGGCAGAGATTTTTGTTTTCTCTCCTGGGGGAGGGGCTGCGATGCTGGGACTGAGACAAGCTTGACTGAGAAGTGCAGTCCTGCCAGAGTGCAGGGGTGTGGGGCTTGGTGTATGCAAGTTAGGCAGCCAGTGTTAGCGCTGCACTGGCTCCTGCCAATGGCTCTGTGTTTATGCTGAGGGATGGGGTTGGGCAATGGTGCCAGCCAGCTCCTTTGTTCCCAGAAAGGCATCTCCCTGAATGCTGCCTCTCAGGGATGGGCTCTGAGAAGAGCAAATAATCTCCCACCTGTGTGTCCCAGGCACTCTGCAAATGGCTGTTGCCATGCTATCTGCCCCAGGTTGTCTGCCTGCCTTTTCTCCAGGAGCAGGGCTGTGCCCTCTGGGCTCTATTGTAGTCAAGCCTGCTGAATTTTAAAACTCCAGTCTTTCAGGCTCACTGGTTGCAAGAATTCATGAAAATAAGCCCCTCTCATTTTCCAAACCAATGGCTTTTGGGGAAATGTTCTCCTTGTGCCTTCCCATGTGCTCTCTCTCTCTCACCTTTCTCCACAACCTTAGCTCCCTCTCTTCCACAGCACCAGTAATCCATTTCTTCCCTAAACCATGTCTCCACAATTCCTACCTTCTTCAATGTGGTCTTTTCTCTCCCTTTAGTTGTGTAGTTTGTTCTGTCAATCTTCAGGTCAATTCATGGGGATTTAGGATGATTTGATATTTAGTTGTGTTTGTGGGATGAGACAAGGCTAGGGTCCTCCTAGTCTGCTGCCATCTTTTCCTTCTCCCCAGATCTGTTCTTTTTAAGATTGCTTTGGCTATTTGGGTCTTTTGCATTTCCATACAAATTTTAGGATTGCTTCTTGTATTTCTGTGAACAATACCATTGGAATTTTGATAGGGATTGCACTGAATCTGGCTAATATGGAAATTTTATGGAAATTTTAACTATTCATTCTTCCAATCCATAAGAATGGAATATATTTCCACTTATTAGTGTTTTCTTCTATTTCTTTCATCAATGCTTTATAGTTTTCAGTGTATAAATCTTTTACTTTCTTGGTTAAATTTACTTCTAAGAATTTTATTGTTTTTGATACAATTTTAAGTGGGGTTGTTTTCTTAATTTCTCTTCCTGATAATTCATTGTTAGTGTATATAAATGTAACCAAATTTTTTATATTGCTCTTGAACCATGCAACTTGAATTTGTTTATTAGTTCTAACAGTTTTTTTGGTGGATTCTTTAGGGGTTTCCATATATTAAATCTTGTCACCCATAAACAGCTGATTGACTTGCAGATATTGAACCATCCTTGGATCACTGGGATAAATTCCACTTGATCATGGTGTATGAATCTACTAAAATATTGTTGAATTTAATTTGCTAATATTTTGTTGATCATTTTTGGATCTATGTTCATAGGGATACTGACCTGTAATTTTCTTTCTTCTTTCTTTCTTTTTTTGTGATGTCCTTGTTTATTCTTTGTGTCAGGGTAATGTTGGCCTCAGAAAATGAGTTTGGGAGCATTCCCTCTTCAATTTCTTGGAAGAGTTTGAAAAGGATAAATATTAAAATCTTCTTTGAAAGTTTGGTAGAATTAACCAGTGAAGCTGTCTGGTCCTGGACATTTGTTTATTGGAGTGTCACTCATTCATTTATTGTTTAATTCCAGTATGGTTAACATACAGTGCTATATTAATTTCAGGTATACAACACAGTGATTCAACAATTCCATACATTACCCAGTGCTCATCTTGACAAGTGCACTCCTTACTCCCCATCCCCTATTTCATCCATCCTGCCACCAATATCTGCTCTAATAACCAAGTTTGTCCTCTATAGTTAAGAGTCTTTTTCTTGGTTTGTCTCTTTCTTTTGCTTGTTTACTTTGTTTCTTAAATTCCACATATGAGTGAAATCATGGCATTTGTCTTTCTCTGACTTACTTTGCTTAGCATTATATTCTCTAGTTCCATCCATGTTGTTGTAAAATGCAAGATTTCATTCTTTTTGTGGCTGAATCATACTCCACTGTATATATATACCACATCTTTATCCATTCATCTATCAATGGATACTTGGGTTGCTTCCATAATCTGGCTATTGTGAATAATGTTGCAGTAAACACTGGGATGCATGCATTCCTTTGAATTAGTGGTTTTTATTGGGGGGAGAGTAAATACCCAGTAGTACAGTTGCTGGATTATAGGGTAGTTCTATTTTTTATTTTTTGAGGAACCTCCATACTGTTTTCCACAGTGGCTGTAGCAGTTTGCATTCCCACCAATGGTGCAAGAGTGTTCCTTTTTCTCCACAACCTCACCAACACTTGTTGTTTCTAGTGTTTTTGATTTTAGCCATTCTGACTCGTGTGAGGTGGGATACCTCATTGTAGTTTTGATTTTCATTTCCTTCATGATGAGTGATGTTGAGCATCTTTTCATGTATGTTGCCCATCTGTATGTCTTCTTTGGAAAAATGTCTGTCCATTTAAAAATTGGATTATTTGTTTTTTGGGTGTTGATTTGTATAAGTTGTTTATATATTTTGGATACCAAACCTTATTGCGTATGTCATTTGCAATATCTTCTCCCATTCTGTAGGTTACCTTTTAGTTTTGTTGTTTCTTTTGCTGTGCAGAAGCTGTTCATTTTGATGTAGTCCCAACA